TCTGTAGATGTTTTCCACAACCACCGGCTCTAAATCTACTTCCCCCCCGAGCCTTGTCTCTTGAATGCAGACAACTTTTTGGGGCAACATGGAAACTGTTCCACTGCAAGCGTTTGGGAATTTAAAGCATGAGCTGCATAACTTTAGTCTGTGAAATGCTGACACAAAGTTACTTTCCCTCCATATGGCAAAGTTTATTCATTCGTCCCTTCAAATCGCACAAACCCATTTTTCCAAGCAAATTCTCTGTAGTTTTAAGCTTGTTTGAACACTTTAGTTTCAAGAAATTTATTTGATAACCATAACTACAAAAATGGAGACAGAATGTTTTTGTGCGGTAGCAATGATGTGCTAGTTTTTGCTAATGTCCGATTTTTATTAAGGCTTCAGATCAATATAGTGTTAATTAAATCTAATGTGTTAATTTAATATAGCCACAATGCCTTAAATCAATGAAATGTTAACTGATTTTAAGACATTAACATCATTTACAGCACAAGATTTTAAGAAATCTTATTCAATAATTTTTCTCACCATACTGGCAGGTAATTTTGCTTGATTCAAGCAAATTCCTTTTTTTCTTGATTTGGCTCTATATTTCTTCCTTTTTTGACCAAACATTGTTTTAAATATATGTTTTAATAGTGCTATAAATGTTCACTGCATTCACACAATACAAATAATCTTACTGAATTGCTGAAAGTCATGAATACATTCTGATGAAGCTTATTTTGTACACACACACACACACACAGCCATAACAAAATTAGTCTACTTTTTAAATGAAACAAACACTAAATAACTACAAAAATAATGTAATTACATTTAATTATTTCAAACTTTGAAGAATGCAGCTAACTTGCAAATTTGTATCAGTGTTGACTATGGCACAAACCAAAAGCTACATTAATATTACATTTATGTTATCACTACAAAATGAGGTTATAACATCACTCAACAGACTCATTTTGCAAGAAACTAAAGTATGCAAATGCTAGGTAAAGCAAATTCCGCGACTGCCCCTGAAATACTGCCGTTTGTATCTCTTAAGCTCACAATGGAAAGGTGTTACTTCATTTTTGCTATTATTGTCAAGAATGAAATTCAAGAATGTGTCCAGAATAGTTGGAGAACATTCAACACACAACAATGTGGGAGCCCAAACTTTGTTCTTTGTGAAAGAATTCCTTCACAGCTATCAGCGTACAGTAACACCGGCTGACGTCTACAGAGCGATAAAACGATGGATATGTGAAAAGAACTATTATCAAAATGCTACAATAGCCATGTTAGCTGGAGATGTTGAACCAGCTTGTAATCAAAAAACTAGCTGGCGAAAGTGGTACGGTGGGTGTGTGTCTCGTATTCACGGGTCTGTAACACCACTGTAGATGTTTTCCACAACCACCAGCTCTAAATCTACTTCCCCCCGAGCCTTGTCTCTTAAACGCGGACAACTTTTTGGGGCAACATGGAAACTGTTCCACTGGAAGCGTTTGGGAATTTAAAGCATGAGCTGCATAACTTTAGTCTGTGAAATGCTGACACAAAGCTACTTTCCCTCCGTATGACAAAGTTTATTCATTCGTCCCTTCAAATCGCGCCATTTTTCCTCTGCTCAATGTCAGCTGAGAAGCCATTAAAACTGAGGTAAGGTTGTTTTACTTCAAGCTCAAGCACTTGGGAAAGCTCTACAAGCTCTTATTCTTGGACTTGATCATTGTTTTTACTGTTGTTGTTTAAGCAGAAGCAGCAAAACTCTGCAACAAGTACTTCCAGCAGAAAAAATGCAGAAGTGTGAAAAGGCCCTGCTGTTAGCACTTAGAGTAAAGCAACCACTGCTGTTACTTAGCAACTAGTGATAGTGAAAGACACAGGTATGGTGAGAGCTCTTCAAGCTGTGAAATTTTGTGATTGGAACAAAATGTTGTAGAAACAGGCACAAGACATCCTTATTCTTCACATTTCCTGAACTCTTTAAACATCATCTGCAGCTAGTTGCTATGTTTATGTAGTTCAGCAAGACTGTTACTGCTGCTAAGGACTCTACATTCACTCTGTTTTATTGTTTATTGTTATTGTAGTCTTTTTATAGTGTTCATTGTAGTGTTATCACCTCATTCTCTTACCTGCTGCTGTATCAAAGTCTTGTTTTTATTCCTTTCCTCACAATCAGGTAGGAACAAGGTACGGTTCTCCCAAAACCCTACCTTTCTGGAGGGGACTACTTTTTGCCCCTCACTCAGTACCTGACTATGACGAGAGGCATAACGATAAAGCCTCGATAAGCAGAGAAAGCTTCGAAAATGTATCGATATAGAACCGTCCGCAAGGAGGGAACAGCTGCTTCCTCCCTGTTCAGGTTTATCATAAATCTGCTGATGGAGGGCCTCTCAGGCTGCCGGCGCCACGTCATAAATCTCATTTTCCCCCATTTCGTGCCGCGAAAATTCGCTCTCGTTAATCTCCCGGCCTGCCACGGGCGACTTTGAGCCAGCCACATTCATCAGCAGCTCTGGCTAAAATAAAGCCCTGCCTTCCGCACCCTGAACCTTGCAAACGGGCGCTCCCACCACATCTTGCCGGGTTTCCGCCGCTCTGCTAGAAAAGGCTTTGAACCTGTATGGATAGACGAACGGTGATTCCAGGACTGTGCCCTGAATAATTCCCTCTGCGATGATTGAGTCAAAGAGAGAGAACGAGAGAGGGTTGAGTCTCATAGACAGTGAGCAGGAATGAACCCCTGAGGCAGACAGGCTGTCCCTGCCTTTCCTCTCTCATTAGAGTAGAAGGATTCAGTCTGAATATTAAAGCACATTTCCTTCGTATGTGCTCTGGTGTCTCTCTATTGGGAGCTAATCTCGGCTCCTGGAGGACGGCTAAGATGAGCGGGTCAACAGACGCCGTGTGCTCTTAAGAAGATGAAAAGGCGCACTAATCGTGGGTCCTGAATCTTCTTAGTCTTCGAGAGATAAGCGGGGCATAACGGTTAATATCTGCGGCTTTTAGCTGTAAAAGGACGCAAAGCAGAAAGGCTTTTAAGCACACAAACACAGTACACTCGCGCACACACAGAGAAGTGTACGCTCATTAGGGAAAGAAGCAGAATTCTCGCTCCAGGTCTTGAGTATTAATAATTTAAGTGCATTTGAATTCCCTCTTAGGACCTCCGCTACAAGGCTCGATTAAGCATCGGAATCTGACATGAGGCTCTTTTGTGTTTGTGTTTGTGTGCCATTTCAGAGAGTGTCGCTGTGAAAGCTGTGCCCAGCGGTGTGCTTTGCATTTGCTGCGTCGAGCGTGTTTGCACAGGGGGGACCTGCTGCCCGCACAGTTTAGCGTTTTCCCTGCTCTGACATAACTGATTCACCTCGTCAGCTAGCCCTGCGTGAGCCTACAGGAGAAATCCAAGTGTAGTCCCCCGCCAGGACATGTTTGCTGTCCAAAGTTTGCTGGGACCTGCTAAGTTAACAAGCAATGGAAGCTAATATCTCATAAGCACTGTGAAACACTTACTCTGAATCATCACAGTTGCCTAAAACTGCTAGGAGTTGTTAAGTCATCTCAAATAGACTGTTATATGTGGATGCTGACACTATGGTATATATGTATGGTATGTAGAATCTATAAAATTGTACAAAAGTAGGTTAGCATAGCTAAAAACGACAATGGCATCTTGAAATCTTGAAGCCTGTACACTTGATCATTTCATACATTTGCCATGCATGATAATTTAATGATTTTCAATCTTGCAGGCTGCTGCAAAAAAGTATCTATTTCTGTTATTTATGTTTCCTTTTGCCTTAATAATGCAATTTCTGAATGCTGTTGTTATGTTTATTTGACAAAGCAGGTACTATTTGGGTGGTGGATCATTCTCAGCACTGCAGTGACACTGACGTGGTGGTGGTGTGTTCGTGTGTGTTGTGCTGGTACGAGTGGATCAGACACAGCAGTGCTGCTGGAGTTTTTAAACACTGTGTCCACTCACTGTCCACGCTGTTAGACACTCCTACCTTGTCAGTCCACCTTGTAGATGTAAAGTCAGAGACGGTAGCTCATCTGCTGCTGCACAGTTTGTGTTGGCCATCCTCTAGTCCTTCATCAGTGGTCACAGGACGCTGCCCACAGGACGCTGTTTGCTGAATATTTTTGGTTGGTGGACTATTCTCAGTCCAGCAGTGACACTGAGGTGTTCAAAAACTCCAGCAGAACTGCTGTGTCTGATCCACTCAGACCAGCACAACACACACTAACACACCACCACCACATCAGTGTTACTGCAGTACTGAGAATGATCCACCACCCAAATAATACCTGCTCTGTGAGGGTCCATGGGGGTCCTGACCACTGAAGAACAGGGTAAAAGAGGGCTAACAAAGTATGCAGAGAAACAGATGGACTACAGTCTGTAATTGTAGAGCTACTAAGTGCACCTATATAGTAAGTGGAGCTGATAAAATGGACAATGAGCGTAGAAACAAGGTGGTGGTCATAATGTTATGCCTGATCGATGTATGTCACAATTCACAGTAAATCCATCAATAAATAAAAGTCTTGTGCATGTTTTATAGTGATAGTAGCACACAAAAAAAACTTTTTGCAGAAGGGGGTCTCACCCATCGTTGCTCGCTAGAAGCTTGACACAGAGTCAGAACATTTCACCAGAGCCATAGTGTCCTGGTTGGCCACTAGGGGGCATGCAGGGGGCAACAACTGACAACTTTGTATTTTTTTCTGTGCCCACTAAAAGGCCTGTTGCATTCATTTGATTAAGGCATGCAGTTTGGTAGGCATGGTACTATTTGGTGAGATGTAAGCCTAAATCAGTTTTTAGCTACATTAGCCTTACAGCTCCAGCAACACTAAAGACTTCAAACAAGTCTTGGGTGATCAACTCCATTTGGGGTAAGAGGAAATTAAATGAATTAGACTATATTGCTGTTTCTATAATCAGGGATATTTGAGTCACCTGGGTTGGAATGAATTATTCTTAGTACCTGAAAGCTCTTGGGGTTGAGGCTGCGAGGGTTCTCAGAGGCAGTCTTCAGTCTGCCATCCACCGTTTTCATCAGGTTCTCCGTGTCCCTGACATACTGAAGGTCCCGGTACGTCCTCAGGTCCAGCACCTCCATAGACTGAGTGATGTTCTGGACCTGTCAATCACACACACACAGGGGCAGACGGAGTGTCAGTAGAGGTGTGTTTAGAGACCGAGGGCACAGCAAGTTAAGCTTTCAATCTGCTGCGCTTCACCGCAGCGTCCTGACACTAGCGTATTCAGCCAGCCTGCTGAGCTTCTCACCCGCCTATTTTGCTCACCTACCTCTGTCCTCAGTCTGCTGCGTGACCTGCCTGCTGTTCCTTACACACTGTCTCCACTAACCCACACACACACACTCCTGCATCTACTCTCACAAACACTCACATTAGAGTCACACTATAAATGTTTGTCGGGATGGGACAAGACTATTCACCTCAGGTTTGGTCCGGTGTGGAAATCATTTTACTAATATTGGTCAGCTTCTGGTCAGGTTTAAATTTGACATTCTCATAAACTGTAACCTGTCTTTAACAGACTTTTTTGGGCTACAGTCGGATTCAGACAGAATTCTTTTAGGATACAGTCAGGTTCAGAGAGAACTGTGTTGGACCACATTCAAGTTCAGACAGAATTTTGTCAAGCTACAGTCGGGTTCAGACAGAGTTCTGTTGGGATTCAGTCAGGTTTAGACAGAATTCTGCTGGGATTCAGTCTGGTTCAGATATAATTCTGCTGGGATTCAGTCGGGTTCAAATATAATTCTGCTGGGATTCAGTCGGGTTCAGATATAATTCTGCTGGGATTCAGTCTGGTTCAGATATAATTCTGCTGGGATTCAGTTGGGTTCAGCTATAATTCTGCTGGGATTCAGTTGGGTTCAGATATATTTCTGCTGGGATTCAGTCTGGTTCAGATATAATTCTGCTGGGATTCAGTCTGGTTCAGATATAATTCTGCTGGGATTCAGTCTGGTTCAGATATAATTCTGCTGGGATTCAGTCGGGTTCAGATATAATTCTGCTGGGATTTAGTCTGGTTCAGATATAATTCTGCTGGGATTCAGTTGGGTTCAGATATATTTCTGCTGGGATTCAGTCTGGTTCAGCTATAATTCTGCTGGGATTCAGTCTGGTTCAGATATAATTCTGCTGGGATTCAGTCTGGTTCAGATATAATTCTGCTGGGATTCAGTCGGGTTCAGACAGAATTTTGTCAGGACAAAGTTGAGCTCAAACATTTAAAAATACTGAGATTCAGACAGACTTTTGTTGGGCTACAGTCAGGTTCAAACATACATTTGTCAAGAAACTTTGAGATTCAGTCTAAATGTTTTTGGGCTTCAGCGTGGTTCAAACAGAACTTTGTCAGTAAACAGTCAGGTGCTGAACTTTGAAGGGCTACAGTTGGGTTAAGATTAAACTTTGTTGGGATGCAGTCCAGTTCTGACAGCAATTTATTGGATTCAGACTGAATTGGTCAATAAACAGTCAGGTTCACAATGGATTTTCTCAGTGAAGAGTCAGGTTCAGACAGAACTTTGTATGCCAAAGGTTGGATACAGGCAGAATTATTTTGGGATATAGATGATATGTTCAAGTAGATTTTAGCATACACTTGAGTTCAGGCAGGCTCAGACAGAATTTTGACAGGCTGCAGTCAGGGTCAGAAAGAATTTGGTCAGCTTAGTCAGGTTCAGACAGGATTTTGTCTGGTTACAGTTGGGTTCAGACAATTTTGTCAGGATAAATTAAGATGGAAAGAATTGTTCTCAGGCTACAATAAGGTTCAGAGAGAATCCTGTTGGGCTAGAGTCAGGTTTGGAGAGAATTTTGCTGGACTACTTAGCTGAAGGCTTGGTGCTCTTCAACCAGTCAGACACAAGCAGAATATTCTTGGGTTATATCTGGGCTTGGATCTAAATTTCAGGTCCAGGTAACTACTTAAACTGGAGGTTACTGTTTGTTTATACATTTTAATACTTATCATTCAGAAATTGCTATGAATGATTCAGTAATAACTACAAAACAAATATGCAAGTCACTGCAATTTAAGTGGAAAAATGTGAAGTTCTAGCACACACACTCCCTCCTTGCTCTACAAGGCCTGACAACCCACACGCTGAGTGTCCCGTGTTGTTGCTGCGCTCATTTCCATCTTTGTGGGCTGATGAGCGTTAAGGTGTATCGTCTAATGAGCTCATTTGCATAGCTGTCAGAGCCAGCGGTCACGGTCAGCGCCAAGGATTGTGGGCGCTCGGACTGAGGCGATCTTGAAGGGAGTTTGCGCGGATCAACATGTCCACCGTGCGTTCAGCCACTGGAGCGGCTCCTCTTGGGTCCATGTTAGTGGTAAGCTCAGGAGGGTCGGTGCTACACACACACAGGGCTATTTTTAAAGGAGTCAGGCCAGTAGAAGCTGTTATATTCTGAATGCATCCTCCACATCTTGCACTGAGGGGGGACTGACCTCAGGTGTCCTCATTAGTCTGTGTTTTATTAGACAGGAGTGTTAGAGCCTCACAGCTGCTGCCAAAGCCACACACACACACACACACACTCACACATACCTTTTAACACATAGCCTTTATCCTCATTCTGTGTGGGTGTCTATGGGTGGCTGCTCCTGGAGGTGCACTAGGCAGGTTTTTAGAGGTAGACAGAACCCAGCAGAGTGCATAAGGTGAATAGCTATCAGTCTGAAAGAGAATTAGATGCTGGTGTCTCATTGATTTGCTGAGGCTTCACTCATTCAGCATCTCAATTTGCCTGCCTGGATGGAAGCAATCTACCTCAAGTAGGGATGGGCAACTTGAGAAATTTAGAAATTTAAAATTATTACGATCATTATACTGTGCTATTCAAATGTAATTACATAATTAACAGTGAGGGAAACTCAGGGCCATATAGGATGAAATAAAAAGTGTTCGTAATTTTTAGTTTATTTTTATTTAAAAGTATCGTCATGCTTGTATTCAAATTGTGCAAGTACTGTAGTACTACTGGAAACAAAAGCAGTAAATTCTTGAAAAGCCTAACAAAAAATTATCAGTGTTTTTCTCTGTGGTAAGTAGACACAGCTAAGTGAGCTCTTCCATTGGTTCCATTGGCACAAGCTGGACTCAAGGTCCTACAAAAAGATCACTGTTAGCTTAGTGCTAACTTACTGCTAGAATGCCATAGGCATGTTAGCCGAAGCTAGCTTTATCATAGAGGAGGGTTTTTTCCTTGTTTTTGACCATGTTTTCACATGCCTGAACTTAAGACCTTGCTCTAATAGTCAGAGTTCGCCACTGGTTATTACATCTATAAGTACATAGTGAGTTACACAATAAATTACTTACATTCGATTTCCATTCAATTACATTGTGCAACAGCTTTGAATCTGCACTTCTGATAGTTCTCTGTTTGTTTCAATGTCAAAAAAATGACAAAAATGTAAAAGAGGTAGCACAATATTTTATATTTTTATACAATATTTTTATTTACCTAGTATTGTATAAGTCAATATGTACTACTTGCAAGTAATTTTTTTGGGTACATACTTTCTGGTAAATTCTGTGTACACTGGAGTACAAAGAATTTACCTGCAAGTAATAAATATGTTGTACTTACAATTAATATTTGATGCACACTTTGCAAGTTCAATATATAAGCACATAGTAACTAATTCAAGGAAATTTCAGCATTATATTTTATATATATATTATATTTCAGCATTTAGTGCTAGGAAGTGACACAGTAGTAGTAATTAGTGTGAGCGAATACATGCCTACATAATAGAGAAGAGTAAATTACAGGCACAGGCGACATAGGTGTAAAAATTGTAGGGTACCTAGCACTGAGCACTTACCACTGCTTTCCTCCAGTACATTAATTAATTTCATATTAATTGGTATTTTGAGTTATGGCTACACATTGCATACTACAAAGACAAGCTGTCATGTAAAGGCTATGTACAAAGTTCCACTTTACACTCCTGTTACCACAGAGTTACAGATGAATTACCAGTAAATGTACTAATTAACCCCTTAAAATGTCAGGCTTATTACATACATATTACATAGGCTTATTATTCAGTAACTACAGGGACTTCAATGCAAACTTGCTGAGCTATTCATAGTTTACAAAAGTGTGTAAAGCAAACTTTGGGCCTGCTGGTGGGCGCTGACCATTTAAGAGATTAATATAAAATGAATTACTGTCCTGGAGTAAGGTTCTCACTCTGTCTTTCTCTATAATTCTCTATTATCTATGCATAAAGCAATAAATAATAAAGCAGTCTGTAGTACTTAACACTATTTTCTACCTTATATACACCTGGAATTTGCTCATTTTAGTTAATATGTATTTACATAATGAACTTGCAAAGTACGCACCAAAATGAGTAGTAACTACTATATATTTGCAATTTACCTAAAGATTGTTGTACATACCTGGAAGTTTTCATAAGTCGCAACATATATACAAAGCATGTACCAGAAAAAATCTTGAATTTACATATTAAATACTAGTTACTATAAAATAAAGCGCTACCAAAATATCTTCTCTTCTACTTATAAACAAAATTGCGGTAAGGTTTGAAAGTTTTGAAAGAAGTTCTCCTCTTTTAATGAGGTACAAATGAGAAATAATTCATATACAACTGCATTATTTTTTATTGCTCTAACTGTGACTAAGACTTAAGCATTTTTCCTGATTCAATATATACATTCAAATATCTGGTAACACTTCACTATGGGGGGTCATTATAATTCTCTTGTCACGCTCTTATTAAGCCTTATCAAGCCAGTACAATTAAGTACTGTTAAGTCGATTCTGATTACTGGCAATCAAATGGATAGTGCTTCTTCAGAATATCCTGTCTCCTGGGTCTTCAGGCCTCTGAATGGCTTCTTCATGATTTATCTAATTGTCTCCATCCATCTTGTAGCTTGTCTTCATTTTTCTCTTTTACCCTCAAATGTTCCATGCATAATGGTCTTTTCCAATGAACTGATTCTTCTCAGAAAAAGTCCAAGGAACTCTTCACCAACACCAAAGTTCACTATAATTATTGCTTAACTGTAATTACTGCTTAATAACAGTAATAATATGTTAGTTACCAGCCATTGGC